CGGGGGCACAGGCCCCGGTGCGTCCGCGCCCCGCGTGCTAGGCTTTGAGCCGCGAGGCGGCCACGGTCACGGCGGTGTCTCGCCCGGGCGCGGGGGCCCAAGGAGAGGACGTGGAAAGGGGCCGGCCGCAGCCAGGAGGTGGCCGAGTCGGGGTGCCCGCGGCCGGGTGGCCTACCGTGCCTTCGGGCACGCCTGCCTGCCCGCGCGCTGGGTCGCGTGGAGTCTTTTGGCGCGGCCCTTGGTGACGCTCCTGACGACCCTTGTCACCGAGGTCGCGTCACACCGAGGGCCCAGGGTGCGGCTGGCGTGTTGAGCCCCGCCAGGGTGTCCACACGGGTGTCGGGCGCCGCTACTCCTAAAGGCGACACAATGAAGGGAAGGAGGTTCCTGTGGAAACATTGTTTCCGTCTCTGGCAACAGTATCTTGCTCGGCTGGCACACACTTTATTTCCGATCTTTGTTACTTCGTGTGCACTGTGCCGGGAAAGGGGTTTGGGGGAGTCGGCCGTCAAGTCAAGGTCAGCAGAGCCGGGGAAATGATGCAGGACAGTTAAGCCCAGTGATCTGTACATTTCATTTCGAGGAAGACGGGCCATGGACACCAGGGAAGCGGGCCATGGACACCAGGGAAGCGGGCGGTGCTTTGAGCATTTGCCACAGAAAACAAGACGAGGAGGGGGGCGCCTGGGTGACTTGGTCGGTTAAGCATCCGACTTCAGCTCAGGCCATGGTCTCACACCTCCAAAGTTCGAGCCCCGCGTCCGGCTCTGTGCCGACAGCTCGGAGCCTGGAGCCTGCTTCGGATTTGGTGTCTCCCTCTCTCTCTGCCCCTCCCCTGTTCACACTCTGTCTCTTAATAATAAATAAACGTTGAAAACATTTTAAAAAATGTAAAAATTAGAACAAGACTTGGAGGGTCATGTGCAGTGATACCACCTTATCTGACACCTCTAGGAGCGAGGGGTCCCCTGCAGGAACTGTCTATGTAACTGAAATTCAAATCTTGAACTGCTAAGAGCTCTTCGAGGTACCACTCTTAAAGGACCTCTTTATACAATGTGTTGCACATGCCCTAGCCCTCTGTGTGACGCTAAATACTAGTCCTGCAAAGATGTCCCCATCCTAATCCACAGGACCTGTGACTGTTACCTCAGGGAGCAAAGGACATTTGGAGGTGGGATTAAGCATCTTGATATGGGGCAACTATCCTAGATTATTCACTAGGCCCGGGATAATCACACCTGTCACATCCTTTTATTTTTTTATTTTTAACGTTTATTTATTTTTGAGACAGAGAGACAGAGCATGAACGGGGGAGGGTCTGAGACAGAGGGAGACACAGAATCCGAAACAGGCTCCAGGCTCTGAGCGGTCAGCACAGAGCCCGACGCCGGGCTGGAACTCACGGACCGCGAAATCATGACCTGAGCCGAAGTCGGCCGCTTAACCGACTGAGCCACCCAGGCGCCCCACACCTGTCACATCCTTAACGAGAGAGGCCAGAGTGACAGGCGGAGAAGTCCATGTGACGATGGGAGCATAGAAGATTGCAGACACGTCTAGAAGGTGGAAACGGCAAGGAAACATTGTCTCCTGCAGGCTCTAGAAGGAACCCGCCCTGCTGACACCTGCAATTCAGCCGTCTAAGACTCATTTCAGACTTCTCACCACACCCAGTGAGAGAGAAACAATGTTTGAAGCCACTGACTTTGTGGTCATTGGTTGCAGTAGCCCCAGGAAACTCCTACACCTTGGCCGATATTGCACGTGATTGCCACCTCGGGAGTCATTTAACCTTCTCTTCTTAAAAAAAAAATTTTTTTTTACATTTTATTTATTTTTGATAGAGACAGAGCACAAATGGGGGAGGGGCAGAGAGAGCCGGAGACCCAGAATCAGAATCCAAAGCAGGCTGCAGGCTCTGAGCTGTCAGCACAGAGCCCGACATGGGGCTCAAACTCACAAACCGCGAGATCGTGACCTGAGCCAAAGTTGGACGTGCAACCGGCTGAGCCATCCAGGCGCCCCTAACCTTCTCTTCTTAACCTTGCTCATGGCGAATTTATATCATTGGTTCTGGGACCCAGTGCAGTGGTTACCTTAGGAGCCGTCCAGAGGCGGGGTGGGAGCTGGGCTTTAACCCCCAAATCAAACCAGCATGTGTTCCGGTGTTGGAGTTCTGTTCCCTTTTCAGGGTGTCACTGTCCTTCCCCAGGAACGACCCTGCTGGCATTTCACCTTTTTTCACTTTCAGACAAGGAAACCAGGGCTGAGTAAAATCTTTAGTGGCAACACTGGGACTTTGTGGTAGAGGCCTTTTTCACCTGCTGTCATCTCGGAAGGATTTTTGTTGGGTGCGCCGTGGGGGTGACCTCTAGTTAAATGCTTGCTAAGGTAGCAGCGGACACACGGCCCGGTGTGGTCCCGGCCGCGATGCTGGCGATGTTGTGCAGAAGCTGATAGGCCCAAGTGCTAAGTGAGGACTAGTCTGAAGCCTTGCTTGTCCTTATATGGTCTTCAGTTCCGTAGCTTGGGTGTCTCGGTGGTGGTGGTGGTGGTGGTGGTGGTGGTGGTGGTGAGGGGGGCTTGGTGGAAGTGTGGGATCTGCATTTGAGCACTCCCCCCACCCCCCAGGGGCTTGTTAGCCCATTAGAATCTGAGAAACCTGGCTCAGAACCCCTCGGGTCGAGGACCCAGCGGAAGACCCAGCAGCCACAGCCAGCTGGGCTCCAGGGCCTGGGGCTTGTCTGAGCGAGGGGCGTACACCCTCCGGGCCGACCCCGTGCCTCCCCGCTCACTTCGGCCCAGGGCGGGCGCTGGATCTGACTCCTCTCCTGCCTGTTTTCCCTCGGTAGGTGTCAAGCTAGGGATGCAGTCCATTGCCGTTGCCACTGCTTGCACCATTTACCATAAGTTCTTCTGCGAGATCAACCTGGACGCCTATGACCCCTACTTGGTCGCCATGTCTGCCCTTTACTTGGCCGGCAAAGTGGAGGAACAGCACCTGCGCACTCGTGACATCATCAACGTGTCCAACAGGTAATGGCTCCCGGGCGCAGGCATTTGAGAGGTGCCAGCTGTCGAGCTCAGAAGGAAGCCCCGGCCGGGGGGGGGGGGGAGTGGTCTCGAACCGGGGCAAGAAGCACTAGCAGCAGAGGCAGGAATGAGCCCGTCAGAAAGCCATGGGGGTCAGTGGGAGAGAAAGCGAGGCCAGATGAAGGGAGGCGTCACAGGCCAAAGGAGTGTGGAGGACTTGGGTACGGCAGAGGCCCCGGTGTCATGGGCTGGGGGACATGCCTAGAGCACGGGGATCTTGGAGAGGTGTATCAAAGAGGATTCACCTGGACTTTTGAACAGGATGGATCAAACCAGTTGTGCTCTGTGGACTGAGTCGGGCAATTACTTTATTGAGATGGTGTGAGAAACGGAGTCAGAGTTGCTGGCAAGCATCTCTTGTCCCCATGTGGGCGCGGTGCTCTGTGGGCGGCACCTCGGGGTGCAAGTAGCCCTGTTCCTATCGCAGAAGGACGTGGGGGTCCAGCCAGCCGGGCCGCACGGAGACCCAGGGGGCCCGGGAGGAAGCAATTTATGGAGAGTTACTGATAGCAGCATGGCATAACCTTTCTAGAAACTCATGATTAGAAAAGAAAACTGTTTTCTGCTGCTTCTCTTTTAATAAACAGGGAACAGAAAAAGCACTCCTTACCCCCCAAGCACGACAGGCTCACAGTGTACCGTTCAAGACGAAGAGCAGAACAGGCGAGGGAACCAAGGGAGGGCCGCCAGAGTCCACCTGTAATTGCCAGGTCCCCAGCAGGGAGGACTGGCAGAGGGGACATTGTGTGGATCGCTAATTAGACATGGCACCCGGTGGGGGCGGGGGGTGTTCTGTGGGGAGGTTGGACCGTGAGTGAAGAGCTAGGGAGGCTGAATCGTCAGCAGAGGATTTTGGTCCCTTGAGTGGGAATATGTACATGTTGGTGATCCTGCGTAGCTGGGACTGTCGTGGATGTATATGGTGCCAATAA